CCCCCCCCGGCGGGCACCACACTCTCACACCGAGCAAGAGCAGGGTCAGCCGGCTCCTCCTCCGCCTCCGCCCCCGCAGCCTCCCATGCCATGGGCCGCCGGGGCGGTGGATGCCATGTCTTGGTCGGGGGGACCGCGCCCCGGCGCCGGCCGCGTGCACAACCGCCAGGCAGCCACAGTCGCCTGCTGGCGCCAATGCCTCACTCCTCCCCTCGCCCCTGCGGGCCCCAAAAGGGCATTGGGCCCGACTTTGCGCGCTGGCGAGAACCTCGCAGCCACACACACACACACATACAGATCGGTCGCCCCCTTCGTACCCGAGGGAAGACGCCTTCGGGAAAGGGGCCGGTCGACGTGCGCACATCGGTGACCGCCGGGCGGAGGACATCATGCCTGGCGGCGGCCGCCTTCTTTGGCGGGAACACGCGCGCGCTTTTTCCCCCGGCAGGAATTCGCCCGCCCTCCGCTCGGGCCGACTCCCTGGACCCCTGGCACAGGCACCACCCAGGAGCAAGGGAAGCCGAGTGCCCAGGAACAGGCCCGGCCCCAATGCCTCCCGGCTCCCGAAAAAAGTGTCAGGAGCTCGCGCGCCGTGTCCCCCGGCCACATCGGCCACATCGACCACCGACCGCCGTCCGGCCTCTCCCTCGCCTTCCCCCCCCCCCCCCCCCCGGACTTCCAGCGATATGAAAAAAAGAGGAATCCCACCTGGCGGGTCTCATGGTGTCCTCCCCCGCCGGCCTCTCACCGCCTCCAGCCACCCTCACTGGGCGTGGAGACGGCCCCGGAGTCGCCTTTGCCACACGGCCCGGGAGGCAGACGCCCGCAAAGCCGTGGCCGAGACCCACGGAAAAGGCCTCGCGCCGCACCCCTTTTGCCCCTCGCGTGTCGGGGCCGCACCAGCCGAACGCGCCCGGGCAAGGACGACCTCGGCCCGGCCTCTGTCTCAAGGTCGGCGAGCAGTCCGCGGCAGCGATAGCAGACGGGGCGCCGCCGATGCTGACGGTGCACACGGCCAAGGGTACGGCAACGCATAATTAAGAAGCCCTGGGACACCCCTCGTCGCGGGGCCTCGCTCGCCGCACGGCCCCGGGAGGCAGGCGCATTCTATTCTCCTGTGCTGGTAGCTTGTCTACCAGAATCCCGCGAGGGCCAGTCCGTGCGGCCTCTCCCTGGCGAGAGTCGAACCAGAGAGGGAAACAATAACAGGGGGAAATGGCCTTTTTTAACCCGCTTCGATATTACAAGCCCCCCTCCCCTGCTCCCACGATGGGTCCAGCTCGCTATCTCACCCTCCGGAAGAATGGGCGTCTTAGTGTTTCAAACCCCGATAATCGCGGTTATGGGGGCTCATCTTACCCCCGGCAGCTGCCGCCTGGGCGCGCGACACTCACACCAGGCGGGAGATGGCCACCGCGCCCTGCCCGCACCGCCCCAGCGGCCCCGCCCGGTGGCCCCTCCCCCATAGGGCCCGGCTGGCGTTGGGCGAGCGCGCGCGCGCGCGCAGCATGCACACAAAAATACATGGGGCTCGGGGAGGCGGGGAGTGACTTATCCGGAGGGCGCGGGCATGTCGGCAAATATGCCCCAGCAAATCATGGCACATATCGTGCGAACCAAACGATAGTTGCGTCAAATGCTAGTGTCATCACGTGTGTGACCACACCACCACCACACACGCGATCGGTCTCGTTTGTTGGGCCTCTCCTTCGGAGGGCCTCCTGCCTCCCCGCCCCCCCTCCTTGCCGGCGCCTTCACCCGCACTTCGCGTGCATGTGTGCAAATACACAAACTGAAAAATCTACTTCTATTTTGCCAGGAGCAAAGAGGCCCGGACCAGGCAGGAGGGGGGGGGGGGG